ATCGTAGCATGCATTACTTAATCGTGTTGTAATATTTTTGAAGCCATTCTCGTAATTTTAAAGAAAGACACAAGTCCAGAGTCTGTAGTTTCTGTATGCACAGAGATACAGAAATAGTTAGCACTCGGTCAAAGTCGATAGTCAGACCAGCATCTGTAGAGCGAAGAATACAAAACTGCATCCAATGGAAATGGGCTGGACTGAATCCAAGTCAATCTTTCCAAATGTAATGAAATCCCCTACAGGCAGTCCTGATATGTCACATTCACAGGAACATGTGACAGTGAACAGTGACCTTGACCTTTAACAGCTAAAATGTTTGTACCAATGTACCAAGATATTCCCTCGAGATCAAGATATACTGTACAAAAACATATTTTGTGAGGCCAACCTAACCTTTAACCTACCAAAATCAAATATATTACTCCTGGTGTGAACAAATGAACCAAATGTGAAAGGATTTCATCAAAGCCTTCTGGAGAGTTCATGTTAACCAGAATGGGATGGACAGAAAACCCAAAGACATAATGTCTCTGGCCAGTGGCTGTCGCCTATTTGAACTTCAGAGGTTTGTGCTGCCTATTTTCATACATATTTTGTGACCATATAACAAGATTTGTAATTGCACCTCCCCCTTCCCCTTTAACAACATTAATACGCCTGACTCTAACCTTCTGATGTGACTTGTTATATTCATAAAGGCTGCAGCCTCATTATATTCATCAAATAACGATAAACTGTGATTAAACAGTCTGTGAATAATAAATAAATCTGCAAGATCTTAAATGTTCAAGACACTTGACATTTATGTTTCTTGTGTTGTCCATAAAATATCGAGATGGAAAATTGTAGAATTGAAACCTCCTGACATTACTTTAAATTACGTGCATTAAAATGAGAGGACAGGGGAACAACAAATGAGGAGGGACAACAAAGCTGACTATGTTTTCAATCTCTCTTATTGGCTGGTGGCAACCTCCACTCCTTAAGCTCACATTGCAGGCGTGCTGCTTCTGAAATATCAATGAGCTTTAAGCTGATGATTATACTTAAGTAAAATATGGATTATTACCCAGCAATCGTCATACATTTATCAATTGAGTAAATGTGCCCTATAGATTAAACATTATTTAATCTTTTTCTTCTACTTCTCTACTATTTTACACCTCAAATATATGTTTCTTTTATTTTCTTACTAACTAGGTGTTGAAACAGCTACTGCAAAATACTTAATGGGTTGAAGATGGGACTTACTCTTCAAGAAAAGACCTGTACTATCACTATCCAGATCATGTTGTAATCAAACCTGGCTAACGTCCTTGGTGCTGCTTTCACTCCCTTTATAATTCTGAGATAAGAGCTCTGAATGAAGCCATTTGTACTAAATGAGCTCATACAATATTCATCATCTTACTCAAGGTATTGCTGCAGAAAAGAAGAGTAGACAGACAGACAGTGTGAGCGAGAGGCTGATGCAGAGAGGAAGAGAGAGAGGGGGTGGGTAGGAAAAAGGTGGCATGGTCACATTGCTGTACTTTGCGATGAACATACTCCCTAATTATTCTGTACTGAGTGAGATCACAGGCTGCAGAGTGTTGCTAAAATATCCTTGAAGAGTAAGGTAAACTGAAATGAACATCACATGACTATCTTTTACCAATAATTTGCAATAATATTTTAGAGGATAAAAAGAAGGGAGAGAGAAATAGAGACCAGTCAGAAGTTAACATGGGGAAAGAAATATAATACTTGACAGCAGAGGGTGCTAGATACGTATGTGAAAGCCTCATAAGAAAGGCAGCGTAGAGGCAAAGAGAAAGAGTTGTGCAAAGTCAAGGAGGAAAAAGAAACTGAGAGATGAAACGTAGTTACGTTTGAGAGAGAACAGAAACAGAATGTAGGTGAGGAGGATGAGAGACGCTGCAGTGTTCTCATTCACAGCGTGACACGTTGCACATGTTTAAATCAATACATAAATGATAGATATCGCTGAGAGGTGGAGAAGGAAAAGAGAGAGGGTGAGAATACAAAGTGAAGGAAGGAGAGACAGAGGTGTGGAAGGAAAGCCAAAAGAGGAATACACTTGTTTTTTTGAAAGAAAAATAATACGGCACTTACAGTATTAGATTTAGATTTCATTAGATGAGACATTACTCAAAACCACTTAGAGCAGAGGATGAGCTGTGGATAAATAACCTGATAGTTTCATACCTCCTACACTCTGAAGGTGGACTGATCAATCCTGTACCAGGTTTGCTTTTTGCTTGCTGCTATGTCAGCCGTGCTGAAGAGTGGACTGCCACTGATTGCACTCAAAACTCTCACTAAATAATTAGTCACTCAGCCCGAGTAGAGGGTATGATGAGGCAGAAAGTTATACCTTCACTGTAATTGTTGTGTGAGGGTTTGTTTGTGAGACTAATCTGTTTTTTTCCCTATTTTATAAGATTGTGGTCTTTCAGTTTGTGTTATTTATTCCATTTTCAGATTTTATAATGGTTGTGTTTGGATTTGCTCTGCTATGCCGAAACTTTGCGCTTTCACTCTGATATTTTGTTGCTCGAACAGATTTCCTTCGTCATGTACATCAGAGAGCAGAGGAGAAATCCAAGGGCTGACGTTTCATGTGTGCACAGAGGCAGTGAGAGGCTGGAGCACAGGAAATCTAAGCACAAGCAGCGCATATGTGAGTGCCAGCGAATGGTTTTGAGTGACAGTATTATAAAATCAGAATGTGACATCAATAAGTCCTGCTTTCAAACTGATAGACCGCGCTCTTAAATAAAGAAAGCCCATAGACTAACTCTACATTGACATTGCTGCGGTGACATAAATATTGACAACATACTTGCAAATAATTCATTATTTCATTTCTCCATACCGATGCAAACTGTTCATGGTATTAGAAGCTGGAGGTGTGCAAAGTCAGTCCATCACGCTGACAGACAACCATATTTAGATGTCCAATTTCATCTGTCTTTGAACGTCTTTGGACAACACAAATCCATACTAGACACAGATAAAATATCCAACAATTTATCCTCCGTTACATGGCTCAAATTATATGATACAAGATAAATGTTGACAATCAGAGTCACACACCTCAGCTTTGCGCATGTTTTCTTTGGTGTCTTCTATCTTCAGTTCCAGATCTAGTCTGCCTTGTTCTGTGGTGGGCAAACCATGGCTCTCACACTCCTCCAGAGACTAAAAACAACACACAGACAAACACATAACTTGGTCAGAAACAGTGTGTGTGTTTTGGTTACTGAAATTCTACAATGGGTATAAATGGAAAACATGAGTATGTGTGTGTCCATCTTACTCTCTTGTAATGAATGATATTCTTGTGTTCCCTGGCCATTCTGGTTGCCCATTTCCTGGCCTCTTTGTTCAGACTGTGCTCCTCCGTTGTCCCTGTATCCGACTCCAGCTGACGACTCTAATATAGATAAACACGGGGGGGACACATACACACAAACACACGCCATCATGGTAGGCAAACACACACACACACAAGTGCACATATAAGTACAGTATCAGCGAGAACAGCACAGGGTGTTTGCCATGAAGAAGCTGTTGATGACACTAAAGAAAGTGTGAGAGAAAGATTGTTTCCTTCACACATTATTAATATGGTATGTGCTCTATTGTTATGCTCTTGGAATAAAATAGCTGTTTAATATAACCATGTGTCTATTCTCCAGAGATTTGAATGCATTATAAGTTATAAGTTTACACACATGGTCAATACTAAAGCACA